CTCTTAACTATATAAAAGACCCTTCCTGGCCCACCTCTGCCTGATTCTCAGAGCTTACCTCCCAACAGCTTCTCAATCACTGGTTTTGTTCCACCTACACACACCTGCCTGCAGGTCTGCTCAACAAGCCATGCACTTGCTACTCTCTGCTTTGAATGCCAAGCCAACTTCAGATGGTCCTTCACACTGGGCTCAGGCATCTCCGCCTCCCACCGAGTCTCCCAGGGTGCCCGCCCCTCTACTGGACAGCAAGCCTTATACGCACACTGTGATTTCTAAGTCAGCCTCCTTCTTTAACGGCACAGTTGTTTCTTTTGTTTCTGACTCCTATTGCTTAACCAGCGGCTGACGCATAGGAAGGGCCTGACACTCGGTTCAATTCCTGAACCAATTCTTGCAGGACGCTAAAGGCTCTGTGTGGCTCTGGAGGCACTTAGGCTGGAAACGTAACCTGGGATAGTGAGAGAGGCCAGACGTCTCCAACACCACCTGTTCTAGAAAAGGGGCTCTAAGGGCTCCCGCTGGCGACACCTCCCTTTCCCGAGCTCCTCTCACTTAGTGACCACCTCTGACCTCATTAAATTGTGACAGGTTTGGGCCACGACCCTAGTGAGTGGAGAACTCCAACGGATTACCCCCATCTGCGCACACAGGAGGTCGCCCATCTATGCGAATGACTTCCCCTGGGAGCCACCACCTTCCTGGAGGACTCCGAGTCAGGGGGGCTGGCTCCCGTGCGCGGGTGGGAGGTACACAGGGATAGGGGGTGAACAGGTGGGGTGGGTTGCAGAGGTAGGGTGAGGAGCACAGGTAGGCGGGTGCAAATTTGGGGTGGGGTGCACAGGTCTGGGGGTGTACAGGTGGGCGGGTGCACAGGTCTGAGGGGTGCACAGGTGAGGTAGGGTGCACAATTGGGCGGATGCACGGGTGGGGTGCACAGGTCTGGGGGTGCACAGGTCTGACGGGTGCACAGGTGAGGTAGGGTGCACAATTGGGCGGGCGCACGGGTGGGGTGCACAGGTGGGGGTGCACAGGCCTGGGGGTGCACAGGTGGGCGGGTGCACAGGTCTGAGGAGTGCACAGGTGGGGTGGGGTGCACAG